ACATAGTTTCTGTAGCTGTAAGAAGGTAGTTATATAGGTTACTCTGTGGCTCTAATAAACTACAAAAAAGAGCTGCAATAGAAACAAACATCTGCTGAACACCGCCGCCTCTCCCCAAGCCTGCTGGGTGTTGAGCTCAGCACCTGGGGGTGAGGGGAGGAGGCAGCGAGCGTCGCTGCGGTGGGTGCAGCAGGGTATAGCAGCAGCAACAGGAAGCTTCAGCAAAGCTTCTGTTGCTGCGTGCTTAGTATCTTAATATAATTATCTAGTGTTTGTATTTATTTACATAAATTATATCAGAGCTAAGCGGAGGCTACCTGTAGACTATTTACTTGGGTTATGGTGTGGTGGTATTAGTACAGTGTACGCGGAGGTATGAGCAGAGCGTTGCTTTTGTTTAATAAAAATATTATTTATTTAGTTTACACAGAAGAAGAGAAGCGGCTGAGTTTACTAATGTATTTATTATACCGAGGGTATCTCGGTTTGGGGTGTATGTGCAGCTTCGTATGTGAAACTGTTGGAATTCGTTTCTCTGCTGTGTCAGTTTATTTATTTAAGCAGAAAACAAAAAATAAAACTTCAGTTTTTTCTCTATTATATGATGAAGGTGGTTTAGAGAGTTCCCCTGTCTTGCTTGGTGGGTTGAGTGAGGTGTATATGCAGCTTTTTTTTTTGTGTAGGCTGTTGGTTAGCATAGACAGAAATTCATGTTTTTTGTTTTTTTTTATTTGGATTGGTTTGAGAGTTTCTTTTTCTGTTTCAGTTGATAGAGTCGTTTTCTGTTGCAGAAAGTGCTCGCGTGTATCCCTTGCAGCCGCTAGTAATACCGCTTTCTCTCGTTATTTCGACTTTATTTTAATTGAATTTAATATTTTTATGAATTTATTTATTGTAATTACTTATTTGGTTGTAGCTTTCTCGTGAGAAAGCAGAANTTTAATATTTTTATGAATTTATTTATTGTAATTACTTATTTGGTTGTAGCTTTCTCGTGAGAAAGCAGAAAAAACCAGCAACAGAAATACAACCAACGTTCAGTTGCAGGGATCCAGCGGTCATTTGCGTGCGTTTATGTTTCGTGTTTCCGCTTTTATTTATAAAAAAAAAAACTTTTCTTTTGAATGAATTGTTTTTAAATTATATTTTCTTTATTTTGCAGCCATTTAAAATAAAAAACTCGATTTTTTTTTTTTTCGTGTTTCTGCTTCCTGCTGGGTTTCTGAACGGGTGGTAACAACAAACACGGGGCCCTGCAGTGCGCAGGCGGGCAGCAGGTGCATTGAATGCAGTGAAGGATGAGCAATTAAAATAAATATTATTTATTCTTTCTTCTTTTTCTCAAAGCATACGCTTTCATTCATCAGGTTTCCGTTAAAACGCACACAGAAGACCGCTGCAGCAGCAGCAGCAGCAGCAGCAGCAGCAGCAGCAGCAGGGAGAGAGAGCACTTGCATTGCAACTTGCATAGAGAGGCGAGGCTGCGGCGCCATTTATATTATTTTGTTTGTTTTGTTAATACACAGTAGCATCAATATTTAGTTTCCAGGTTATAATAAACACAGTTGCTGACCCATTGTTTCTATTCATATTGCAATTGCTGTTTTTCTTTTCGCGTATATAAAGGGCGTGTGTTGCGTCTTTTTTTTTTCTTTTTTATAATGGCATTTCACAAGAAGAATGGAGGAGGTAAGGAGGACAGCCACAGCGACAGCTCCGCAGCAGCAGCAGCAGCAGCAGCAGCAGGTGGCGGCGCAGGTGCTCCTGCTGCAGTGAAGCGGCTCTTCAGTGATCTTGATAAATACTTTGAGGGGGCCCCCCTCGCACAGCAGGCATCAACCCTCACCGGCCTGAGGCCCTCTGTGCTGGCTCTGGCTTTGGGGGCCTTTCTTATCGTCAGCCTAGGCACAGGCTTCGGCGGTGGACTTGTATGTGATATCGCAGGATTCTTATACCCAGGTAATATATATATATATATATATATATATATATATATATATATATATATATATATATATATATATAT